ATGTGCTAATATAAAATTTAATTAAGTAGCCTATATAAAATTGCAAAATAAATATATCTATCAGTACTTTTTTACTTAAGTACATAAAAAAATCGAGTACTTTTGTACTTTCACTCAAGTAAAATTGAAAAAGGAGTACTTTTACTTTTACTGGAGTAATATTTTATTATACGTATCTGTACTTTTACTCAAGTACTTGATTTGTGTACTTCGTCCACCACTGGTAAAAACTTTCCACAACAGTTTTAATGTGAATTTTATATGGCGAAAAAAGTTTGAGTGCTGTTAACACCAATGACGATAACTATGATATTAATAAAGATATTGTTTTAAAAATGTTTTAAATGTAAAAGAATAGCAAAGTTTGCATCACAACTATTTCAATAGCTACACAGAGGAAAGCTATTGTTATCAATTTTTTTTGTCAAAACATTGACAGCCAATCAGATTTCATCCTGTTTTAAAGAGCTCAAACATTTAAAGCAGCAGATGACATAACTGCAGCACACACTTATAATAAACAGAACATTATAGTGCATTGGTGTGGACGCTGATGTAGTTATCTTTACAGTTATTACTCTTGGTGTGAATGGGCCTTTTGTCATAATAATACAATCGAGTTTATAACATACAAAATACTAGCCCTAGGCCATAAAAGTACCTGTAGTTGAAGAAATACCTTGTTGATGTTTTGAAAGTAGATACATGGGGAAGTTGTGGCCTAATGGTTAGAGAGTCGGACTCGTAACTCAAAGGTTGCGAGTTTGAGTCTCAGGTCCGGCAGGAATTGTAGGTGGGGGGAGTGAATGTACAGCGCTCTCTTCCACCTTTAATACCACGAATGAAGTGCCCTTGAGCAAGGCACCGAACCCCCAACTGCTCCCCGGGCGCCGCAGCATAAATGGCTGCCCACTGCTCCGGGTGTGTGTTCACGGTGTGTGTGTGTTCACTGCTGTGTGTGTGCATTTTGGATGGGATAAATGCAGAGCACTAATTCCGAGTATGGGTCACCATACTTGGCCACATGTCACGTCACTTTCACTTAAGACTTAAGAAAGTAGCCTAGATACGTGATGGAATTTAAAGAGATTGAATAATTTGAGGAATGTTACAAATTACAGCAATGTTAGTTTGCGTGAATTCTAACAATTCATTATGGTTTGCCCGTTTTTTAAAATAATATTAGATAGAGCCCGACCGATATGTTTTTTTTTGGGGCCGATACTGATATTAGGGAGTAAAAAAATATGTATATAGAATACAGTATATAGCCTACATAAACAGAATATATATATATAAACACATTTTTTGCAATGATAACTCAAATGTGGTGATCAAACACTTATAATGATGTGACAAACATAGGCCTATGTAATGGAGGCAGGGTATTTAACAATTTAACAATAAACTTTATTATTCAAAATGAGTCTGACATCAGTGCACTTAACAGTAAACTTCACTTCACTTATTATAAATAACTTAAATACCACAAATAGAACAAAATATATATAACTTGAATTAAGAAATTAAACAAGGTAACTGTGTAGGGAGAGGAAGCTACTGACAAACCAACAGGGACAGGTTTATGCAGGAAGAACAGCTTTTCCAAATGTAAACATCTAAAATGAATAAATGATAATAATGAATAATATTTTTTTTCACAAACTCTGTGTTGTGTATTTTCTGGTAATCAAATAAACATGCAGAACATTCGTATTTAAATCGTCTTTTTGCAGTTTAATATTCACAGACACAGTCTATATATATGTACTAGGGGTTGAACGACTTCTGATTTTTTGAAGTCGACTTTTATGTGATGAAAGTCGAGTC